TTTTCATCTTCGTAAGATGCTAAAAGTGAAGAGAAATGTTGTTTATTGTAAATAATGCGTATATCAAAACATCTACTCATCATGATATGCACAGACTAGAACTTGGTCAGTCCAGTTAATTATTAAAGATGTGAGCTCATTTCTCAAACACAGTAATGGGGACAGTCGAGGACTTCTATCTGAAAAATATATGTTCGAAAGAGCAAATACCTGGATAACCGCTCCATTATATGGTCGTCTAAGTAATACGGATTAATCATTTCTTCTACTAATAACTTACCCACTATTTTTTTTCACATTTTATTAGCTGAGATATTGAGATTATTGACGAAGGTTAATGTCCCCTGGAATTCTCTAAAGAAAATACGGGTACTCCATTTCCTTGTTCCTTCGACCGGACCGATCAGCTGCAGGGTAGCTAACAGTTTAGGATAAAACGAAAAAGCCACCTTAAACTTTCGAGACAAACAATGTTCTCTTATAACATACGAACGGATAAATAGTTTTTAGGGCAGCTCCAAATTAACCAAAACGGGTTTCAAAAACAGAGAGAAAACCATTTGAGACAATTCAGACGTATTTGGAAACAAACACATCGTAGCCCCGGTGCTCCTGGAACAGTCGAAGAGCTCGCGAGATCTTATCACAGATTTTTCCTTACGGTTTCGTGATAGGGTTAGTCGCTATAAAGAAGCAGTTAACCTACGAGAGTGGCTTTCAGAATGAACGGTTCCATATTCCAGGTTACCCATGAATAAGATGAAGATGATGAACCAGAATGGGATTTTAGATGTCCCGTCTCTAAATATCAGTATATGCGCGATGGAGTGTGTGTAGGCGTAAGCGTTACTTGACTGTGAGATGGAGCGTGAATGCAAGTCGAGTACGTGAGCTTGCGTGGCTTTCCTTTTAATCTCTCGCTCTGTTAACCGCCTGCTGTCTGTTCGTTCACGTGAAGAATTGGGAATTATTCCAGGAAAAATTTCAGTTTAATTTTAGTTTTAATTTCAAGAGTCCTAGGAGAAAACAGTGACGATAATCTCGACGTAAACAAAATTAATTCGGGGAGTAAGCGAATGTTCTATACGTTGCAAATTTCAATGACCCAGCTGCAAAGTCACGTCGGAAACTTCCGTCTTTTACTAACGGGGGGCGAGTTCCTGTTCAAGAAAAGAGCATCTGGCTTCGCGCCGGAGGAAAAATTTCACTGTACCAACAACGCTTATGCGCATGATTCAAATGACGTCTGATCTGAACGTTTTGTTGACGTCATGAACGTAAGAAGAAGACCGGTGAGAGAGAATGAGTGCACTTAGGTTCACTTTAACTTTCACTGATGTAATGATTTTCTCTCTACCCCTCTGTTAATGGGTGGTCATGTGTGAAGAGGTGTTGACAAGTGACAATTAAGACCCGCTGTTCCCACCTCCAAAAAGGAAACGCTCATACTAAACTAGACTTGCTACAAGTCGACCTCTCGGCGAGCGGAGCGAGACTTGTTTGGCGGGGAAGCGGCCGATAGTGAGCGACGAAGTCCCGAGAGGTCGACCTTCGTCCAGCGCCATATGAAATCCGACGAAGGCCTTTTTTGAAAGTCTAATACTAAAGGTGCACAAATGTGCATGTGTGAAGAGGTGTTGACAAGTGACAATTAAGACCCGCCGTTTCCACCTTCAAAAAAGGAAACGCTCATACCGAACGCGCACAAATAAGTTTCCAAAAAAGGACGCGGAAGTTGACCGGAAAAGGTCTGACAAAAAAGCAAATACAAGGTTAATGGATTCGGGTTCAAGTTAAGCGTACTCTTTTGGCCGCCTTCTAAGGCAGCTGGAAAATGATGAATATTGCATTTTTTTTGACTTCTTTCTCCCTGCAATATATCACCGCTTACGTTTTAAATGAGCTGGAATTTCACTGCCTTTGCGTGCGTAACGAAATTGGGAGAGTATGTGTAAGAAATGAGCAATGTGTAGACTACTGCGTAAAGCTTCACACTATTGCAAATACAATTACGTACAAAGACCTTCCGATGTGGACAGTTAGCGGCAAAATAGTTGATGGTGACGCCAACTCATATTGCCAGTATACAGGTGCAGGTTTCTTTGTTACGTAATTCGATTTATTGGTGGTCACGAGGCGTTAGTAAACGTGACTACTTTGATCATATACAGTGGCGGATCCAGAGGAAGGGCCGGGGGGGTCCCTCTTATTTTTAGACCAAACTGAGGTCCGAGGGGCCGAAAATTTTTTTTTATTATTCCCCCCACCCCACTTCCTTATCTCAGGATCTGGATGACCGGGTCCACCCCTTATCTGACGGTCTGGATACACCACTGATATATGTTAGACAGCTAAGTCGAGGGACTGCAGCAGTCACTTAGCTTGTTCGGAAAAGTGAATTTTCATCCTGTCAAGTTTTGTTGTTACAATCCCAATTCTCTCGATTTTGTTCTTTTGCAGTCGGGTTTGAGGTTTGTTCTTTATTTTTTTCGTCTTTGCCTTTTTTGGCGCAAATTTAATTCAAAGTAGTTAACAAACAGAGAGGCTGGCAGCCGTTTTTCGACTTGAGAAGTTTAATCATCAATTAAGAAATGGCTGCTGATAAATAATTTTTCCGCTATAAATTGACTGCAGACTAAGTATAGCTTGAGGAGTTAGAAAAGCACAAAATTGTCTGTCGGCCACTTTTTTATTCTATGAGGCAAATTAATTTGCTTTTGCACAAGGAGCGGCGCTTTCCATCGACAAAACGAAAAATCTGGTAACAAACGTGACTGATTGAAACCAAAATTTGCTGGAGGGAGGAAGTTTTCCAAGCCCACAAATGACATCAGAGAGACTAACTGCCAATGTTTTGTCTGACTTTTGTCAATTTCGCATTTTAATGACAAAATTCAGACAAACAGTTCTACAAATAGTAGCTGCGTGCTGAGCTGTTTGCTCAAAATTGCCGCTTTGCCAGCCTTGTTCTTAGTCTTAATTAGTGATAGTTTTGGATGTGACGTCACCCGTCAAGCTTGTCGAGAAAATTCGCCGAGCTATTGCTCTCGGTTCTAAGCCTCCTCTGCACACTCGAATAACACGACCCCGCTTAGCGTCAATTTTTCTAGGAGACAGCTTCTGCTTTGCTACTGACGTGACATCGACCAGTTTGGAAAATAAGACCAAAAGCCTTTCCCTCCAGTGGGAGCTAAAACAGGCTACTCTTGGTTTGCAGCCAGGTGATAAGGCGGCCATGTTGCGGGTCAAGACAACAGAATTTTTTCTCGAAGAATTTACATCAAAATAAAGTTTAGTTTCCAGAGGATAGAAATACTTTTTGTTTTTGCCCGCCCACATGGCCGCCGTGTCGTCACGTGCAAACCAGCAATTTCGTAGTTCCAAAAACTCTCACTTTTAAAACAGGCTAAATGCAAAGCCTTTCGTATGAAAATGTATATATATTTCATTTGCATGGGACCGGAAGTAAAAAGTCATTTTCATATCACAGGCTTTACACTTAGCCTCGCTTTGAAGCAGAGGCTTGAGGCAACTCGGAAGTGGCCTATTAAGGGATAAATTGGCATTGTTTTGACTTCCAACGTGGCCGCCTTGTCACGTGGTTGCAAACCGAGAAAAGCTGCCAGTGTGAATACCAATTGCTTACCATAAACAGCGCAGAGAGCTGGCGCGAGGATGGACGACAGAGCAGGCTTTAGTGCCCGGTCCTGCCAATCAGATCTCTTGAAAATATCTTCTAAAGTATCGAGCTCGAACTGGGCCAAGTCGTCGAATGACCAACTTGGAAACCTAATATGAGACATGAAAAACGATTTTGTTTATATTAGTATGGATAAAACACTCATTCAGTAGGATGTATTAGGAAAAAAAAAAGAAGAGAAAATCAATGTTTGATGGCATAAAAATATAACGTGCGTAGCTCTAAGGCTAGGTGTACATCAGAGGTGATTTTTCCGGATTCATAAATATTTCCGGATTTATTACAGTTAGTCAGCCCAGTCCTTAGACGTTCGGCGCGGTTAGAACTTGAGTCTACTTTGGCAAGGTGACGTCACCGGTCCACCCACTCACCAAAAAAGAACGAACCGAGTTGACCCAGATTTCATCACATCGGTTTCGCGCGGTCAAAGGTCATTAGGCCACAAAGAATTCACTTTGAATTCCGAGAAACGCAACCAAACCGTGCGGAGATTCGGATTTACCCAGCGGCAAAATGAATCCGTAAAACTCTCCTCTAGTGTAAACTTAGCCTACTTATAAAGTTGTCTCTGTTGTGACATATGTTTCGCAAATGACACCACTATTAATGCGCTAATCTCAAGTGCTAAAAACACCAAACAGAGGGAGGCCGTCGCTTAGTTAAGAGAAGTCCCTTTAATGATAGAGGAGGAAGTTATAATTCCTTTTTAGCAGTATAATCGTTGGATATGTGTTGCTTTTCAATGAAAGTCTGATTCTGCGTTATAAAGGGCCCTTTTCTTTCCACTAAATAGAAAGTCAATTTGATCGTAGCAAACGAAAAAGTACTCATCATTGATATAAAAATGATAAACCACAACTTCTCCGCTCTAACCCAGTTTTGTCAGTGGCTTTCTTGGTTTATGTCATTTTGTAGAAACGAAAGCAAGTTTAAAAATCCAACATGACAGAGTTTCCCCTTGTATAAACTGCGTTGTTATTATAATTTTTTTTGTAAAAACATGCTCACGGCTTGTTAATTCATTTTAAAGCGCATTATTCTGCTAGGAGTGATAGAGTAACCTACAAACTATAAGGCCTCAGATATCGTTTCATGCACGTTTTGATCGATTTAAACTTCGTTAGGTGGTAAACTAATAAACTTATTTTTCTGCACCTTTTGCCGGATTTGTTTTTCGTGAGTTTCGAGCCATATTCGCGTTCGGATAATATATAACAAGGAAGACCTTTTTCATTTCCTTTACTAATTGCCTATTTTAAGTATTACAGGAAGCTGTCGCTAAAAACAGTCAGCCGCGACAATGAAAAATGCGTTTAGCCATGGTTGTTATTGCTAGACGACGTCATACTGAGGATGTGCCATTGTTGATATATCAGCGATATCAAAGCTCTCCTCAACTGCGCATTATCCGTTCGATTAAGCTTTTGCTAATGATAATAAATACACACAAAAAAATTAACATCTTTCGTCATCAGAAAACCTACTATAATTTAAAAAGAATTCTTTTTTATTAGATGTTAAAATTAGAGCAGACAGCATTTGCATTGAGAAGCTGCCACTGAGAAAGAAACCAGACAACGGAAGATGTCGTTTGTGACATCTGCGCGCTAATCGAGTTGGCGTAGACGGCTAGCTCTCTGAAAAATCAACATCTCCTTTTTAAGTTCGTGGAATGTCTAAGAGGAACTCGGAAGGAAATGTAGGTATTAAATAATAAAAAAAACGACTGCTTTGAAATTCAGAAGCTGATTCTCAATTAAACAAACATCGCCGAGTAAAAAAGGCGATCAATCTATCAAGGGTAGTGATCACTAAGCATCGCATTAGTAAAGATCAACCATCAACCGCGGAGTTATTATCAAGAACAATGGCAAAATTTCTCAATTATCGGAATAACATTTCTAGCAGCACGTAGTTTTTCTTTTCTGACCAATTTCGGCCTGATGAAGTCATTACGTGCGTCATAAGACCGAGATAGAAGCAGTGCCGGCTTTTAATCGACTTCAACAACCAATCATATTCCAGTAATACATTTCTTATATTTGCGATCCATCATCTTTCAGCTAAATCATTGATCAATTTTTCCTGAACGAGAGCTCGTTTTCCTGTTTTGGGCGCTCTATTCTTCCCGTTATTCATCTAATTTCGTTCAACCCAGCTGCTTTGTGGGTATATTTAACTTTCCTCGTTGAAGATATTTTTGTTTTCGTATAATCCAAAGAGAGTGTGGGTGCTAAAATGATTTTCCATTTCTTTATTTGCATGTGCAAAATTTACGGAACAGAATCCGAATAGAACTCATTGCTGAGTGGAGAATCGCCCAAAGCTAAGAAATCGAATTTTAGCCTTAAACACGTGTGGCCGCTATAAAACAGAGCTCGGATTCGTTCGATGTCCCCGGCGTAGTTCGTTAAAAAATAACTGCAGCAAACTGGCATTTTCAGAAACGTTTACTGCGTAAACGTAACGCTTCCTTAAATACAATATTTGAATATGTCTGTACTATTTAAGTAAGTCCAAAATCCCCCTATGGAAGAAAATAATATGTTAAACTTTTACTGCACTTTTTGTATTCAAGTGTACGTTAAAACATTATTTCGTACACAGAACATGCAGGATTAATTAAAAAGCAGCTCGAATCACTGACCTAACAATCCTAGTGAGGAACGTCATTGTACTTCAGCATTGAACCAAATTTAAGACGAACTGTAGCTAAATAATAAGGATCTAATTGGTGGTAAGCAGTGAACAGTTATTTCAGGTACAACCAGACTCAAACGGATACTTTAATTTTTGCTTTTTTTTCTAACCGTGAAAATATTCAGTTTGGTTCTTGTTCCCTTTCAATTTGAAATGCCGAAAAAACCTTTACCGATGAATGTTCCATCAATTTGATTTATGATCTTACGTTAGTTTTTCATGAAGAAAAAGGATAAAAAGATTTTCTAAGGTAAAGGTATCAATGTTTCCGTGAAATTTCGCGTTTCGGAGTTTAAATCCGATTTGCAATCTAAGTCTGAATGAATTTCAATATTCACAAAGACCGGATTTTTAGGCAGGTAACTGAAGATTTTTCTCTCTTGAGCTAGCAGTTTGAAAGCTGCATTACTTACCTGAATGGGGCAAAATGATTCAGAACCATGCTTTTTCAGTTGCGGCGATCTTCACGTGCAAATGAAACGGTCGGATTCTCTCTGCAGTTTTTCTGTCGTACACTTTGCGAAGTGAGCTCTGTTTGAAGGAGTTTAATTTTTTGTTTGCTCAATTTAAGTTGAATAATAAATGACATATTTTTATATGATTTGACGGACGCTTGACGTAGAAATGTTTGCGCTGAGAAAAGCACCATAGAATACTCATTTGAATATTTGTCGGGGGAGATTAGAATGTCCTTTATTACAACACATTGGCTACGTGGCTGCCTTGAACAATCAAAGGGAAAAAAGATTCAACTTCCTTGTCCAAGTTAGATTATAAAACCGTTTTATAACCTAATTTACGCGCCATAAAACACTCTACCTGAGAGTAGCAACAACTTTCTGGCATCGTTCGAACGGACCAGTAACACTTTTTTTAATACAGACTTCATAAAAAACCGCCGTATAACTGATTTTGCAATGATTTTGAAGAGAAACTTTGTTGAAAGACACAAACCTATGGTTTTGCAGCGCATGATGCTTTCTAGGGGAAAAACGTAACGCTGCATGATATTGTCTTCGAAAAAAATTTCTTATCTTATTTATCATGTTTATGACTTAAATTAAAGATGACCGTGAACGTGTTTCAGTGCGAATCAGCTAGTGTCTGAAATATTGAGAGCTGTGGTTTGGAGAGAATTGTTACATCTTCATAATCAGATTTGTTTGTCAGTTGTCAGTCACGTGCGAGAGAATTCTTTTTAGCTCGTATAATTTTATCCGTCTTTAGATCTCAACATGACATTATTGACCGTTTCTCACTTTATTTAAATTTGTTTTTCATCAACAACCATTCACTTCTAAGCGCCACTTTGGCGACCTATAAAATTTATGCGAGTGCCCGGAACTATCAGGTAATTGTAAACAACCTTTACAAACGCAAGGCGTTAACTGCTATTCTAAAAATTATTCTGAAAAGCAATTGCAATTCAAGTTGTGTACACAAAACGGGCCCGCTGCTGAGAAACATCGCACACGTTTCCCTTGCGGAATTTTCATAGTTACAGTAACTTTACAAAATGAAATGACCGGTTTTTATTAAGTACTTTACATTTTCAGAAATTCACCAAAATATTTCTAAAATAATTCAGTTATTTACTGATTTTTTGTATTCAAGCCTGTCAGAGAGGGAGTAAATGAAGTCGGAAGTGTAACATTAATGCTAAATTTTTCGTGACTTTGCAGTTTTCCTCAGACCTCAGCCGGAAAATTAATATTTTTGGTAGATAAAAAGAGACCTATATATACATAGATTTTTGTCAATAGAAGAAATTGCTTTAACGTATCGATTGGAACAATTTCGTTTTATTTAGTTGAGATGCAGAAAGTTGTGTCCTTCATGAAATGTTTGAAAGAATGCGAATCGCTGCGTAGGCTGAGACAAAGGAAGTAAACTAACAGTATTGTTGTGGTCTTGAAAAAGAAAAATAACTGCCCACGTAGTCTCGTGTCTTTCAGGTATCTTTTAAGATATTTTTTGGCTTAAAAGCCTTGCGGCATAACAAATACGATCATTTACTTGTAACCAACCTCCCGTGTACTTATACCGTTGAAATATCCCCAGCAATTCATGCAATGAAATCGCTTCTTATATCTCCATAATTCTTGAGTGCCGTTCTTCAACTTGGAAAGTAACTAAACAAAACCCGGGATACAATATCATTTTATTTTTTTAAATACACCGAAATTGATTTAAAATCCTCAACAAAAATTTTCTTGCGATAATTTAAGTTAAATAATGATCTTCTGAAAACAAATTCATTTACATTCACAGATATTCCTATTGTATCCATAATTCACTTAGAAATCGTACCAACCGTGTTTTTAAAAAACATCTGTTCAACTCGTGGGTGTATAAACTAGAAGTTGAGTAGAAATATGCCATTAACACTTGAAAGGCTCGTACTGAAGCATAAAATCACGTTTTAATTCCAAAGTCACCTCCTTCTCGCTCAATTCATACTTTTCCCCCTTGTTTAGTGGGATTATAGTAATTCAAAATATTCGCTGACAAAATAAAAGTTAACCTTTTGATTGTTTTTGTTTTTTTTTTTTCAACTCTTTTTTTGGATTGACTAAGTCCTTTAATTTTCATTGTGTAACCGCCCTATTAGCCACTTATTTATACCCAAATGCAGATTATCAGAAGGTCAACTCTCTTTCGCCTTTAATTCGTGGGGCAAAAGAATACAATCTACTCGCAGAAGACATTTGGAAGATTAACAATATCTCAAGTTTTAAAAGGAAAGCCGCTGCCCCTGCACCTTCTTAAAAACACTTCTTAAATAAATCGAATTACATTTTCCAGAACTGTAAAACCCATCTAAATATTTCTGTTTATAACGCGTGTAAATATTTTTGCTCCCTTGACTAATTTTATTATTTTGAATTTATTTATTATTGTATATTACCGCAGAACAGCCCCGTATAGAGGACTCGTAATAAAGTGTATGTATGTATGCAATTCTTTGTCAGAGACATGTCGAATAAGCTGTACAAGCCCTAGGGAGGAAGGATTATACCAAAACTGTGGACGAGAGGTACTCTATGAATGTTTTTGGCATGTTATTCCAAGAGCATGGTCAGCTGCATTTTGCAACCTTAAGCTACACTTCACACCCCAAACTCCAACCCCATTCCCAACTAACTTTTCACAAGAATCTTTATTTCCTCATACCAACCATATATTCCCTAAACGATACTCCATTCTACACCAAAACCCCTCCGATTTCATAAACTATCCGAAAACCCTACCTTTCACGGCCGAGTTGCTTTTGCTGATACTCATGTAGTCTAACAAAGTACTTCAAAGCTGAGGTTGTCATTTTCACCGTTTATATATTACCAATACACTGCCATTTCACACACAAAAAAACATTACAAACAAAGTGAATACTTTTGAAAAATGAAAATGCGGAAAATCGCTGACGTCATTTGTCAAGTACATAATAGGGAATGATAGCGTTGACAACCAGTGCGACTTTATAGCCAACGAGTCACTGATTGAGCACACTGCGCATCAGTTCTGCGCAGCTGAAAGTGCTCGACTCTTTCTGCCAAGTCGCACTACGAAACGTGGAAGTTCGTTTAAGGCAGAGAAATATTCACTTGTTGCAGTTGGTTTTAGTTCGAAATAGTTACTTATCATGTATTAAGATTTTGCGAGTGTAAGATCACCGTTCGCACACCTCGCACACTAACATTATCGTGTGCTCGCTCTCACAGATTTTTGAGCAAAAGAGTCAGACAGAGAGAATGCTCGCAGTCTAGCAAGGAACTCATACCGGTTTCTGTTCACACATAAGAACAATGATTTCGGTGTAATTTCTGTAACGGATCCTCAGCGAAGCTGTTCTGCGCCGATCGCTTAAGTGGAGAGTCGTCTATCTGATATTATTAAAATCCAGCTAGTGGTCTATTATCAATGCTGCGTTCTGGTTGGTTGAGCTACTACTAGGCTATATGTTGTAGCCCACAAGTAGCGAAAAGCGCCAGTTTTTTGGCGGCAAAAAAATGGATTTAAGTCTGTCTTTAACTAGCTAAAAATTTTTTATTCTCGATATTTTTTACCAATTCGTTGGATTTTACTAAAACAATTATTCCTCTCGCCCTCATGGCCTCTGAGTCAATAGCCCATTCGGACTCAAGGAATAATTGTTAATAAGTTCATATTATACCATCAGATAGCTTTTCCTGTCAGCACGAAAAGCCATCCGTTACAGCATGAACTTAGCCCAATTTTCAATAAAAAAGAAGTTGAACGTTTGTTGAGATGAAGATGTAGTTACTTGATATTTAGATGGCAGCCTTCATGTGAGGGACCTGTAGCTGCATGTCAGTTATCGGCAACAGCATTTTATGCGAGTAAGTTAAAAGTTGTATAACTGAACTATTAAAGAACACATTAGGGCCATTTATACGAGGAAAATCTTATCTAAGACGAGAACAGTTCGTATAAATGGTTCGCGTCTTATTTCTGTTCTTGACTCGTTTTCATGTAAATGTTGCCCATGGCAACGGCAATCCAACATGGCGCGCCAAAAATTAAGCATTCGTACTTTGCGTTCGCGTCTTATGTAAGACGCGAAGGTCATTTATACGAAGTTTTTCCCGTCTTAACTAAGACGCGTCTTATCTAAGAACAGGTGTTAAGAGCTGTTCTAAAATGAGACGCGTCTTAGCTAAGTCGCGTCTTATTTTAGACGAAATGTGCCGTTTATACGGAAAGTTCTTATTTTTCCTCGCATAAATGGCCCTTATTTGTCATCTTATAATTAGAAATATAAGGCATTGTTTTTTTTTTGATATTCCAAAATAGAGCGGAATAATAATCTTAAGTCTTTAGTCTAATTAAATATAGGTTTGTTAATGATGCTCTTTGGAAATTTATTCCACCTCCAGTCTGAGGCCAAAGCTTAAAAATAGATCTCCATTCAGCTTGAGGCTCTTTATCCACTTAATGGTCGAGGGAGGCAGACCAAAGATCTATTATTTTGTTGTTTAAAAGTTAACCTCTCTCACGTTAATGTGTGGATTCGGATTGACCTCTCTTCAATTCAAAATCTGGTGAGGTACTTTTAAAAAAGATTTGGCCCGTCCCAGACTTTAATTCGCTCATCGCCTGGCAAGATTCCCATTTTCTTGGTTTACAAGTGTATGAGTTCGACCTATAACTTACAGTGGTACACAAGTCTAAACGGCATATACGTGCTGTTATCTTAATGAGCCTCTTTGATAATTGATACGGATTTGACAATGAACTCTAAGTGATCCAGAAAGTCGTTATAGATATCCTACCATCCGCTAACAATTTTCCCGGGAACAATGTATTTATTTGCCTTAGAAGTACAGTTCGGACCACATTTTTTAGCTCTATTTTCTCTGTGGCCGAATTTATAACACGTAAAGCAGCGCAAGACATTTGCATTTACAAACCACAAAATTTCAAATGTATACAATCTATAGTTGACATAGCTGTTCTTCATAGAAGTGTTAAAAAAGGCGGTTGTGGTGCTTTTAAGACGACATCCAAAGTATCTGGATTTACGCAAGGGAAGAATTCCTGAGGTGAACAAATCGCTTATGCGTGAGTTAGAGCACTACATAACAATAAACTACTGTACTCACTTCCGTGTCTTATTAAAACTTTACAAAATTCAAATTATCACAGTGGAAATATGCAATCACTTAGCTCTCAAAACAAATTACTGCTGATTACATATCAAACTTCTCAAAACATTTCTTAAAATTACAATTAGATATTTCCACTGTTCTAAAACCGATATGTAATGATCTCGGAAAAATCAGCGAGTCATATGAATTATTAATCAGAGCCAGTGAAGCCTGGATTAAAAATGGAATATAACGTCAATTAAGCTGAATATATATTCAGTCCGTTCAATTTCTTTAAAAAACTGCAAGCCCTAGATTTTGAGCTCATCGATCAAATAAGGAAGATCATTTCTGTGTTGGTAGTGATACTATTGAAAAGAAACCCCTTTTGGTATTTTCGAATGGCCGTTTTCCACTTTCACAGAAAAAAATGATGCGATTATTCCTAAATTTTCACCTCTTAGCACTCTCAATAATTTGCCTTTGAGCGTTAAAGTTAAAAGAATTCTGAAGAATGATTGTTGAATGAGCTGATATATTTTACGTTTTTTTGTTTCCTTGAATATTTTTGCCGGCCTGACAGGATCGATATTTTTTGGCTGGTTTCATCTACCTCTCGAACTGACGATTATATATTCGTAGTTATAAATACTGTCCTGCCATTTTTCTTTGACTATTTATACCGTCAGCTTCTTTTTGACATTCAGAATCAGTAGATAATATTAAACAAATGACGGCTATATATTTTCCTTACCCGACGCACGGAAGCATGTATCTTTCTTGCCTTGCCGGCGTTCTTCGCGGGCTGCACTCCATTTATCTACCGGTCTAGTTGAAATTACCAGAAGTACATACAAAAACCGGTTAGTCAAAGATGTCAGTTCCCGCACAGGAAGCCTTATCAATTCACTTTGGTTGTCATTAAGAACTCGAATTTTTTTCCTCTAAAAAGCGTGAGCCATCTGGCAGCCTTTCCGGTTTACATATTTCGAACAATCTTGCCGGTAAATAACTCTTCCATATTAATAAAGGGGGCCTGTTCTAGAGATTTAATAATTTACATATCACAATGCTCACAACCAGTACCTCTATGTCTAGTAATTTATAAACATTAAATGGTGACTTCGTAAGGAGAGATAACGTGAGATTTAAGATATTTATCGGCAAATAAAGCAGCCTCGCGGTTGAGGATATTTTCTGCTTCAATCACGCAAGTCGGGAGATAAAATTGACGCCTTGTGGTGAATTTCAATTTAAATAGGAGAAAAAAAAACGTTCAACTGGATTTATTAATAAGAGTGACAATGGGTTCGCAGCTGAGATGGGCTTGAAAATGATAAAATTTTCGTGCTAAGGTGGGTTTTCTTTGATTGACCACTTTTTGTCTCGGTATACATAAATACAACTGTCATTACAGTAACAATAAAATTTTAAAAAGAATCGCTATACCTCCTAGTCTCTCTTTATAATTTCGCCGCGTTGGTCGTTGTGGTTAACAGGACTTTTTGGAAATTAAAACATGTTGAAATAGTTAAGGCGTTATTTTAACGGCTAAAAAATATCCAAAATAAGCGTTTCGAGATTTGTATCAGTTAACATTGCACTAAACTGAAAAGTTTCAGCCTAGTTACCAAGGTCGCACTTACAGTCAAGAAACTTTGTTAATCTAAAAGGCAGCTGCAAGGGTTGTTGTTTCTTGGTTACATTTAACATGATGTTTCCAAAGAACTGTTTGTATTTTTCAGTCTTCAGATCTTAACATAACTGTAAGGAAGGTGAGTTTTCCGACTATGTGGAAATAAATAAATATAATATTTTTCAGAAATAAAATAGGAAAATTAAGCCATTTGTCATACTTACTACAGAGACTACAGGGGCACCCAACGAGAATATAGTTCAAAAGCAATTAAACATAGCATTGTTAAACGTATTTTAGTATTTAAACGGGAGATAAAGGCATATTTTTATCCCCTATTCGGAAATAAAATGATCCGAAAAATTCAAAACCATTTTCGAAAATTTCAGCCAGAAAAAAGGCTCATAATTCTAGGTGACCTTTTAGGGAGAAATCTTAAAAATTACCCCTAGAGGCAGGCAAGTCAATTTCGTTCTAGAAAAATCGTCTTCCGAACAGATATTTTTCCGAAAATTGTCGTTGGGTGCCCTTGAGACTATTACCCCTACGGTGTCAATTTCGTGAAAAATCGTGCTCACGTACTTTTAGATCACATTTTCTACAACAACTTATTTACTTCCCAAATTATTCCTTGATTTACTCAGGTTTCGAACGGATAGGATATTCTAGATATCAACCATCGCTTTGCTGTTCGATAAAATCAAGGAAAGCTCGTCGAAAAAAATATATATCGCGTGCGCCATTGGACGCTTAATTAGAAACGTTATTTGCGTCGTTTGAAGTGAACTTAAACCGCAAGAGAAAAATTAGCAGTAAAAATTAGTTTACTGTGGTGATATTTTACCATTAACAAACAACTGTGATTGAGAAAGGAGAAGGTTGAAATTGTCGGAAGTTTACATCCGAACTAAAAAGGAACCGACCTTGCGGCGGGGATTTCTCTTATTTGGTTTACTTCCCTAGAAATTGCGATTAATCTTCTTAATATCTTCCTGACGAGCGAGCACATTACATGGATTATTTTTTGACTTACGAAACATGAATTGTAGCACAGTTAAGTTACTTTAAACAAGAGGTTTGTTTCAGGATTGTGGGATCACAACTTGAAGACGTGAATCCCATGTCCACAGGCAGTAGCGCATGTTAAATTGCAACTGCACCCTGGACAAATATTTATCTTTTCTGATGTAAGGTGTATTTTAAGAGGATCATATATTATTCATTTCTAAAAGCACGACCAATATTTCTTTTATCGCTTCAATATATCAGCGAAACTAAAAGGTTTCATTATATTGTTAAAAAGCCCCGTCTTGATATGTTACAAAATTAATTCGTCTTAAAAACCAGGGATTGTCCGATTCATCCTTCACCCTCTAATTTTGTTGGTTTCGTTTAATGCCTGCATGGTTCAAGTTTTTCTTCAAACTTCGCTTTCCTCAGTCTATAAGTGGACAAATTTAAACGTGTAAGGAAAGATTTTCCGTCACAAACGAAAACAAGAAATTGTGTACGATTTGAGTGAAAACAATATGATGATTTGAATTCATTCTTCTTCAAAGGTGTGCTACATTTTTGATCATAAGAGTTCGTGCTGCATTGAAAGTTAATTTTGCTGCTTTCAGTAATTTTAAGGCAGCGGCAATAACGTCGAAATCACCTGCCGCTTTAATTTTTTCATTTTGTTTTTGGCTATGGAATCTTGCTCTTCTTCTTAAGCCGATCAGAAATGAATAAGCTACATGCAAACGGACGTAACAACTCCCAAAATTATTGGGACAACAATGCTGGGAGTTGTTGGCACCTGCAGCAACAACATTTAACAGGGTGTGCAAACGGAAGCAACATATAACATCTAACAATGAACTACTGAACTAATGTTGGAAGATGTTGGCCAACAATGTTGCGTTCGTTTGCACGGGGCTTTATACTTGCTGGCAAACATTTTTCCCGCGCATGACGCGGGTTTTGATTGGTTCATTTGCTCTGTATGAGTGCGATGATTGGTCAATTTAAATTCTTTGTGAGTTCTGGTTTTACGAAGGATTTACGAGGATCAGCGGCACAAAAAGTTTAAAAGGAAAAATATCTGTTCGGAAGACGATTTGAGTTTGTTGGAAAACTGGTTTTTTTCGAACATCTAAAAAATGGTATAATTTTTTTAACGAGGAATTTTCTCCCTATAATTTTCGGATCAAAAAGACTTTCAAAAGTTTAATAAAAATATGCCTTTATTACCGTTTAAATACTAAAATACATTTAACAATCCATTGTCGAGAAAATTATGTTCTTCCCCAACTTAATGATATTTTCCATTGTTGAGAAAAAATTTTTACTATATAGCTATCTTGATATCATTAGTAACATATCTAGTCTGCCTAAAGAATTAAAAAAAACTTAAACTAAAAAATTTAAACTTTCTCCAAAAATAATTATAAAAAAATTCAGACAAAACTCTCTTGTGCGGTGAATAAATCCACGTGAACATGAATTAATTCAAATTAACTAAAGGTAAATAAAGACAAGATCAAAATGCCATTTATTTCCATTGCTAATAAACTCAACCTTGAAGGTTTACCTTCATACTTTAATCCCAATAAAACGAATATTACGCACATATTAAAAAAGAAGCTTTTGCAAAAACATTGAAGGTCCTTCCGTTTTACATGTGATGTTTGAATATGCAAGTTTACAGCTGTTTATCAACAATGTAATCAACAAAACATCATCTTCTAGGCGCTCATCCTCAACAATATAACGTCAACGAATCATGCATCTTGCATAAAAACTCAAGTTCTGACGCCCGCCCTTCGGTATTTCAAGATACCCGTGACGGTGGGTTTTGAAAAATCAAAATATTCATCTAATCACGCAAAATGTTTCTGAAATTTATTTTAAATTTAATAAAATCTGCCTCCAAAGTTAAATAGTCTTTCTTTTCTCTCATGCGTCGCCAAGCAAGATGAAGGTTCGCAAAGATGACTTTTCTCGATTCTATAATCGTGTTAGCGCCTGAGCAACGGTGTCCCAAATTACGGTCTCAACATTTTTTGAGACAGCTAGTCATCCCTGTCAATATTGTTATGAGATCTTGTGACCTTTTCGAGACATTTTGAAAATAATTTTTTAATCTTTCTCTGAAAATCGTCACGACACTGGTCTTTGTTTTTTTCCTCGAAATTTTTTATCTCAGAAGCCCAGCGTTTTGAGAACCTGTTGGGACCTTATTGAACGCCTGCGAGAGTTATGTAACAGCTGTCTCAGTTGTTAAGGAGAGGTTGTGACCGCTTATCAACTTCTCTCGATCTGACTCAACACTAGTGTCTAGAAAAATGTTGAGACAATTTGGAAACTGTTTCCCAACAGCTCTATAGACTCTTTATAGTTTTTGGCTCGATGACACGTCAGAGAAAAGAAAAACTCCTTCTTTCCTTCGGGCGGTTTTACCTATCCTTGATTGCGCAGTAACTGTAAGCGACGTTTTGCGTCATAGTACTCGGCGATATCATAAGCCTTGTTTCTCGCCAACTTTTCGCGCATGAACTCCGGGGGTTTCATACCGGGCTCGTTTCCTTCGACACGGCTGGTCGTCAATACTGCAAGGTTTTGGCCACAAAATGTCGGCATCGACAGCTGACTAGGATCGAGGAAGTCTGGGAAGAACGAGGCGAACACAGTATCGTAGAATTCTGTGTGGTTGCTGGCGGGGGTTGGGCGCCTTTGCACCTCGTGCGCAAAGGGTATGAAGCGACCATCCTTCAATTGAATCAAAAGCCATTTGTCAATTATAACCTGGAATGGATGAAAAGAAATGGTTATGCTTTGTAAAGTGTTGAAGAACTTATTAAGGCCGATAGTATTTACCCAATCAGTGGAACAGCATGAATATAAATGAACATTTTCAAATTGAAACCTCTACTGTAGCGGGCTTAGAGACCAGGACAAATACCTTGATCCCATTCAGGTATGTTATGGTAAAATTCAGGTGTGTGGTGGTGGTGGTGGGTGGTGTGAGGGGGTGGGGTGGGGGATGGATGGAGTGGGGCATAAATCCAAACCCCGAGATAGAGGAGTCCTGCTCTTGAAAATAACTTTTGTCAATTTTACGGGCTTCGGTTTGGCCTAAAATAAGGTGAGGTCCGGAGCAGCCTGGCGCCAAACTGAAACAGCCTTTGGACCCTTTGGGAAAGGGTGCTTTATAAATCATTATCCAGTTTTTATGTCTCATTATAGCTATCACGGCCGCTGCTACTACCAGTATTTTTGACTAGTTTAAGAACGCGCGCGAGCGGTCCCCAGTCGAAGAAAAGGTCTGTAGTAAGGGTTTAAAAGGAACGTGAGACTTGACCTGCCTAGATTAAACACGCCCTTTCTTTCCCACCCCTCGCACTCGCGTCATTTTTCGCGTGCTGCTCGCGCGTGACTTCTCGCGAATCCCCCCGTGAATGGAGAGGATGCTCGCAGTCTAGGCGTGTGAGGCCCTCTTGTACACGCCCCTACAGTGGCTCAGTATGTTCAGTGTCCCCAAAATCTTTATGTCACTTACCTCATCGGTTTTGCTGTGTCCTCCTGATCGCCATTCACACCCTTTAAATGTTGCACCGAGTTTGCCAGTAAACGTGTTTCCGCAAGTGAAATAGGGTGGTACCCCAAAGCGCGGAAAGTTAGACCTGGAATTGAGGGTACAGTTTCTGCCGAACCAGATAGCGTCAAACTAAAACACGAAGGAAAAAAAAATAAACCAGGATGTTTTTTAGGACCCTCTCTCTTGCGAAACACCAAACCAGTAGTTTTTTTTTTTTTTTGCAGAATAGCAGTTGTATTAAAAACAGGTCTCTCAGGGGCCAGCAAAGGACCCTACATGACCAGGGTTTATCCTGGTCTCAGTAGCAAGGACTACTGGCTAGTTTCCCGGTCCCCGACCTCACCCTGGCAGAGTCACTCCAGCAGTGTGTTTCCGACTCCTATTTATACAGGGCCCAGTTGTTCGAAGGCCGATTAGCGCTAACCTGGACTTACATGTTAAAATCCCTTTTTCTTTTTCTTCAGTTCAAAAGCATTTTCTCTGATAACTTCCTCTATTCTTTCTAGGGTAAGAATAAAACTGCTTTTTACGCTTTCATATCTGCTTCGAATTTTGCGCTCACCCCAGGTTATCTTAACCCAGCTTTGAACATCCGGGCCCAGGGTCCGGTTACTAAAGGGAAAAAAGGCATCTTAGATTAAGCTTGCAATTTTTCCCTCTCTCATCTCTATATGTCTCTTTTGGAAATTAACAAAGGCCCAACTACAGGTTACTTTAGAGTAAGAAGGGAGTGCACAGGAACCCCAAGAAACGCCCTGTTGAACAAAAAACTGTATAGCATGAAACAGTTCATCATCGATGTATTAGGGGGTCTTTGTTAGTGTGATGCAGACAACTACTGGCAGGCTATTTTAAAGTGATTTTCCAAGCGCCATATTTCAGAAAACGCTTGATAAAATACCTGCGCAAATACCTGAATGTAATTGTTGTTCTCAATGTACTGAAACGGGAAAATGAAAGTAGTTTCCCAGCTGCCGGCTCCTACTCGATCATGTCGCTGTTCCCCTGCGGTAGAGTTCTGCAGAAATTCTCCGATGTTTGTGAAGTTCGTACAACTCTTGGCATCACAGTCGGTAACGATCGTGGTGTAGAAGGTAGAAAATACTTCCGGGAATGGTGGGGGAAGCTCGTATTTAGCGCAGGGTTTCCCGACCGTAGGTGGGCAGTCCACACCGTAGAAACACTGACATCTGAAAGTAAATGTAGGTACGTAAGTAGATAAACGCGTCAAGAGTTATTTATGTGAAGCCAGATGCTTTCATCAATAACTGTGCGTCTCAAACAACCAAAACGCCAGCTTGTCAATGTTTTAATTAGAAAAAAGGAACTGTTCAGAAAAGACACTGGCAACACTGTGGATCAACAGCCAACGACAAACATAAACTAGCCTATTCAGAGAATATTAGGGCATTATGTACCTACTGGTGCGTAGGACGTTACTTTTAATAATGATGATGATGGCCACACACATGTGTGTTTATAGCCTGCGTGCAAGCTCCCCGGGGCGCTCGGGCGGCGGGGCAAACAGGGAAAGTTTTTTTTGCCCCGACGGGCTTGCTCGCAAGCTACCCTTCTGATTGCACTATTTTTCTTAACCAATCAGAAGTGAAAGATACCGAAATTGTGAAAAAGAAAAAGTCTCATCAACTCTTGCTTTAGTGAGCAAATACATTATTTTCAAATTGCTTCTTAGCTTATAAGTTGTTACATGCAAACGTTTTAATAAAAACCCACAACGTTTATTAATTTGAAACTAAAACTGTATGCGTTGAACCAAAACCTGACCCGGGGGGACTCCGCATACGAAAGGGGGGAATGCTCGTGGGAAATTTTGAATTAAACTCCTAAAAGAGGCCGATCTGGGCGTAGCCCGCGCTTTTTTTGACCTCTAAAAGAGACCATATTAAAACACAGGCAATACACATATTTTTATATTTTTTCATTTGCAACCCTAAACGAGACCTTTACGGCTAAATATGATAGCGCTTTGCCCAGAACACCCTAAGTGAGACCAAAATCCGAAATTTACACCCCTAAGCGAGACGACGAGCATCCCCACTCCTTTCATATTCGGAGTGCTCTGCCGGGAAATCTGATCACTCACCGTGTAGAGGCTGGACATTTGTGCGTTTTTTGAACCATTTTTGACTTGTCAAAGGTACACTCATACCAGCCACTCAGGTCCTTAAAACAGTACCTTCCAGGGGGACCCTGGTCACAAAAGTTTCCGTATATTCCATCCACAGCTAGCACAAGTACGAGCAGTACAGAGACAATAAGGCAATTCCTGGTCATCTCACTGGGAAAACAAGTTACAGTCATGAACTAAACGATAAATCAAGGAAAAACCAATAAATGTGAGTCGAAGGGACAGTTATTTGAAAGGAGTTTAGCTAACAAAACCGCGTTCTAAGCCATTTTGAATTTGCCCAACGCTTTAGTTTATCCTGATAAGTTTCATAAAAGCATAAGGCGTAGACAAAAATACATTTATTTTCTTAAAATTATCCGCTACGGAAGAGATCTGGAGATCCAAAGATTTGCTAAACCGCGGCCTAAGTTATAGTTCGTTTAAATAACCGACCTAAACAGTTTATGAAGAGGCGATTTATGGAAAATTCTAGCCTTCATAAGGTTGGTTTCCACTGTCGCGTAATTTTTACGAGCGTACGCACGTAAATTTTTTGCGCGTTAATGTAAACGCAAACGCAAACGAAAAAGTTTACGCGCGTAAACGTTAAAGATGAACCTCGATCAATTTTGGGCACGATAAACTCAAAAATCACACGGACGAAGGAAAAGGAAAGGAGAAAAATGAAGAAGGAGGGAGAAAGGAGGAGAGGAGAAAAATAAAAGCAATGGTTGCACTCTTAGTTTTTGTAATGGCTGCTTTCGAAAAAAACTGTTGGACGCTAAAGGTCTATTTGGCGGTAACGTTTTCAAAAATCCTGCCAAAGGTACGCGCGTAAAATTATTACGTACGTACACACGTAAAAATTACGCGGTAGTGGAAATCCACCCTTATACTAGAAGCTCTTTTGTGAAGACCTTAATAGTGAAGAGCATCGAACAGTAACTAAAAGTGGAGCAAGGTCAAGCAATGTTATTTAATTTCATAAATAAAATGTAAAACATGCATCAAAAGGATGCGACGACTGATTCATCCTCTGGAGAAATTGTTAATTGGTAATTATCGCTGATAGATCTTTTTTATGGGTTCTATTTAGGTAGTCTTTTCCGCTGGTTGACTCTTGGACTCTTTAAAAACTGAAAAAAAAATCACCCTTTGTAAATTCTAATTTTGAGGACTTAAGCAGTATGTTAAGTGAAACTCGATCATCAGGACTCATCACTGCTTTAAACTAAACGGTATTGAGTTATTGTTTGTCTTTTTGCTGTTGATGTTTTCCTTTCTGTTCAGCACCAAAGGGCGTTCACAATAAGGCCGCTCTTTCTCAGTGTTAAAGGGACACTCCTTAATGACTTCATAATGCACAAAAAAAAGAATTAAAGTCGGTCAACAAAACTTCGGCTTCACCTTGTCTTCTTGTTTGATAAATGCTCGAAAATTGTGGTTTCTTTTCTCGAGTGGGCCACTTTTGATTGGCAGTCACACACATAAGACAAATTAAGTTTGCAAGTCAACGTAATTTTTTTAGAAGTCTTTCAATTGTTAATTTTGATCGCTATAGCTGGTCGGTCTCACAATGAACATTCTAAAGTGAAGCGTGGTAAGATTTGGAAAATGTAACAGAAATTTTTGAAAAGGAAGTTAGCGCATCTCTATTGACAAAATTTCCATGATAACAATATTAAGTAACAAAGGTAGAATTTTAAAACTTCAGTTTTTTGAGAATTATGTAACGAAACGGAAATCTCTTTAGACTCCTGAGAACGAGGTGTGTCCGATAAGAGATGATGTACTATTTACTGTGGACTACGCGATCAGGTTAAAATTTTGAACTTTTCTCGCAAATGTTTCGAGTACTTGTTACAAAAACACGCGCGAATTACGGAAAGAAAAGACGAGACAACAGACTAACAGAACATTTTTCAATGTTTCAGCCAAGATGGCCTAAAACTTCTAAAGGCAAATTGATGTTACACGATTACCAGATGCTTACGGCAGATTTCTCCTGTTGTTCTCCTACAGAAAAAGAACTTTTAACACAATTTTTCTCTTCATAGGCAGAAGAAAATTTTTGTTCAGTACAAGCACGCATGCATTTTTTTATAGTAGAGAGGAAGTGTAAACGTATTTTCTTCTGTGAAACAGGAATGCACTATCCAAGATTCGGGCAAGTCATAACTAAGTCGTGCAAGAAATCAGAGTTAAGTGCGAAACTATGAAAGTCACTGCACCGAAGACGTAAAAAAAAACTATTGTTAACAGAAAAGAAAGTCTCGTGTCCACTTATTGTTTCAGAATTCAACTGGGTCCACTTTAATTTGTTGATTAATTCTTTTGTGTGTATTTGGGGCTTTATTAAACTGTCTTAGTTGGGTTTGGTTGCTTTCTTTCTTTCTCCAGCAACTGTTGTTTCCTGCAAAATTCTCATTTTTTATGCTCAAGGAGTGAAAAACTAACGGAGCTGTTTCCTCAGTCCTCAGTCCTTACAAAGAAGTGATACTTACGTTTCAATAGTCGCGATTTCCTTTCCAGTTAATCAGTTTGCAGGATACGCCCGTTTACTCCTTTGCTGCCGAGAGCGGAACGCCTTTTATACAGTGCATTGTGTCATTAGGAAAAAACTAATTTTAGCGCAGAGAACAAACTAAATTCTCAGCGCGTGATTTCTCCAAAAAAAAATGCAATTTTAGAATACCACCGTCTCTGTAAATTGCGTCTAAATTGGTGTAGAGTTTTCCGATACCATTAAGAACGCATTCTTAATATCGCGCGGTGGCACAAGTGTTAAGCGGCTGAAATAACAGAAAATAAAACATAAAATGTATAAGCGTGAGAAAAAGCTGATGTTGTTGTAAAATCGGATGTGAGGAAAATGACTGCTGACAAATCTAGTTGAAAAATGGCAATGTTAAAAAGTTTTAGAAACATTGTTTGTTTCTTTCCGATGCAAACAGTTGTGATGAAGTCGAAATATATCACCAAAATTGGTTTTAACCTGAGCATCTTTAAGGAAATAGCGACGAAAAAATAAACGCTGTTTAGTTTTTTTCACTCAGTGTTTTAGAACTTAATTCAATGCTTACACTAGAAAGTATGTTCCGCTTGTCACAGTATCCATTGAAAAGGCCAGCTTGTCGGCATCATGTTTTTCCTGTACATCTTTCATGTTTTCGTCTGCATTTCTTCTTTATTTTTAGGTCCCATGACTCAGGAATCGAACTAGTAAACTATGCATTAATTAGTGGTATGACGAAATTGCATTCTTTTGCATGTTCCGCAAATGGTCGGCAGGCGGATAAACATAAATTAGCTTCCCGCTCGCTATAGTCTTGTAAAACGGAGTGTTTAATTTTGGCAGAAAAAGTAAAAAGCACATGCAAATTTGGCAGCTTTTTGGGAAACTTTTTGGGAAACTTTTTTCAAGAAAAAAGGGTTCAGTTTATGACAATGAAATGCCTCTCCTTTTCGATCACACCCTAGGCCTCTAGTTATAATTTCTTACATAAATAGTTATTCACTCATTTACTATATTGCCATAGTAGCCCAAGCCATTTGTTCCAGTCATGATCAATTTTCGAAGCCTATCTCTAGTAAATGCCCTACGATTTTCTTAGGTTTATTTTTTTTAATTTCACTGCCCAGGTTAGGCTATTTTTCGTAGAAAAAAGGAAACTTGAATTTTTTTGGATTCAAAAATGTGATGGAGAGAGGGATCAGAAAAATTCTCACTTTCGTAATGAGCTAAATTGCATCTAAAATTTTCAGGACAATAAAACTGAAGCCGTTATTATTTCGAAAACACTCAAGTTCCTCTATGATGACCGAACATATACAAATTTTATAGCGCCACTTAGAATGTATTTCTAAAGCTCTAAAAGTACTCTGGGTAGCCTTTAAAAAGTGTTTTCAGTGTAATTAGGAGGAAACCGTCGTTGGGTGCCCCTGATTTATTAAATGAAACCTCACCAAATTTATCAAAATTGAGAGAAGAAGAGAGATATCTCAGATATCTTCCATTGCCGTTATTGTAAATGACGGTACTGTCTTATAGTATTTTTAATCAAAAGTCAGAGAGCAGTTCCGACGAATTCTATTAATTGACCGCATTCAGTCCATTTTTCCGTGACCGTCTTCCGTGGGGTCAAATAAACTCAACAACATAATAGTACAACTGTTTACTTTAGAAATCTTCCTTTTCAGTTATTGTTTCCTTCATTAGCTTCCATTTGTCAGTAATATTAAATAATTCCAATTCAAAAACATTTTTAGTCTTTTTCCGCTTCTTTGATGCGCAATAAATAAAATGAACACAGGAAGTTTACCATTAGTTATCTGCAGATGTATTTACTTAACATGTCGGTATACAAGGGTAGTTGCAGCAAATTAAAGTGCGATGGAAATAAGAGGAATTCCCATTTAAACTTTCAGCACTGTTGCAGTTGGGAAACATATTTGACATGTCTGCGAGAATGAAGATAGAATGGAGAACATAGTTCTCACAGCTCATTATATAAGATAATGTTTATTTGTCGTAAACGTTTAACAGTCCGTGCAAAATAATCGTTGGATTCCTATGGTATACCATCTCTACAAATTATAAACACCTCTGTTCCGCGGGCTCTGTTCTTGTACGATATCCGTGCCTTTTAGCGTGCGAATACTGCTGTCTCTCCTTTGATGCCTGTCATTGACGGGGAGCGAGAAGAGGCTGCAGTGTATTCACGAAAAAAAAAATGCATGCTTCCATAACGATTATGGTCAATGACCATGTTTTATTAAATTTATTTCAAGTTAATCGTTGCCATCGAAAATCTAGAACGTCCTCATTTCTCGCCAGTAAATACAGTTGTTTGTCCCATACATCACGCTATCCTTTTTACTCTGGGTGATTCCAGAAGATTGTAGGGTATGTGATACCCCTCGTCTCCTACACCGTAAACTCGCTCGCTCCCCGTGCGCTCTATTTATTTCTTTCTAGACTGCAGAACAATTGAGGGGGGAATAAGGCTCTATTAGAGCACATATTTCTTGAGCCTTTGCGATCCTAAAAGGGGAATTCGGGTGGAGCGCGGGGGAAGTTGTTTTGCGGAAATGTTGACAGAATGCTTCCGAACAAAAGTTTTAATCCAAAAAAAAGCCTGAAGAGCTACTTGTTTCCTTTAAATTCCATGCGGAAAACGCTATCACTAAGAATTTTTGTTCATCGCTCTCTAAAAATAAAACTTTGGCTGTTTTCACATTATAACGGAAAAAGGAAACCATAACGGATTTATAGGGGCCTCTGTTCAAACTAACTGAGGTGATTTCGGTGCCATTTCTTTAACGGAGGCCGGATGGAGCAAAGCTGCCCCGAACCGATCTTGAAAGTCATGGATCGTCACACATCGAAAACGTAGTCGGACCGTAGCGGAAGTACCAATCAGCAAGGGTGAGGACTGGAACGCACTGAGATAGAAGTAAATACTCAGGAGTTAGGATTTCGATTTAGTGCAACAAATTAAAACTTTATCAGCCAACCACACCATCTGGTACTGTTCGATGCTGGTTTTTGTGTGTGTGTACAGCTTGTTCCAGTTCTGCAGGTTTTGTGCCGTTTTTGTTGATACTGAACCGAATAGTTTTTCATGTCGGCACGAAAACTCTTCGGTATAATGCAGACATAGCCTGAAAATTCCAGCTTCAAAATGACTACTAACATGCGTATACAGTGTTTACGGGAGAGCCGGAATGAGACGAGTTCCCGCACATCGCTCTTCGCGCGCGAAAACCTCTCGCGCAGTCTAACTACGCAGGCTAATAAGATAGCCCCACGTAATGTAATCCAAGATGGTCATGGATTCTGGATTCTACGCCGTGGATCCTGGATTTCGGATTCCTTGTCAGGTGAACTATTATTCGGGATTCCAATTGTTCGCGGCATTCCGGGTTCCTTGAGCTGGATTCCAGATTCCAAAGCTCAGGATTCCAGAATTCCGCACGAGGATCCTTACGTACCTATACTCCGGGAGATAAAAATCCCGAAATCGAAAATATCAAACCCAAAAAAATCCTTCGATCATCCCTGTCACATGAAATCCGGAATATACACTGAGTAGACACTTTGAATTCTGAAAAGCTGATCGTACTACTGTACGTGAAAATTAACTTTGCTAGACATCAACACGACACCGAAAGAACCAAAAACAGAGCGGTGTTGTACCGTAGACAGCGCTTTCGCCATTTTTGTGGCTCGTCACTACGGCGCAACGAACAGAGAATCTCTGCGGTAAAATACCCGCTCACTCTGTTTTAGAGCCCTAACAATGAACTCAAACTCTCCCAGAATCAAGCCATATAACGTGACAAGTTTAAGTGTACATCAGTCACAATGTAATGACGACAAATTCAGACAGCATTGACAACATGAACTATCTCACTTAAATTGATGCACTGCATTTATACAGGGAATTTCCTCGTCGTGCACGTGTCGCGCTCACGGTTCTGCGGAGTAGTGTAGGAGCTGCTCGTAAGGTCTCTACTAATTGGTCGCAGGAAACAGTGATATTCATTTTTCCAATATTATTGTTTTAATATTGTCCGGGGTCAGGGAAAGGCACCATTGGTAACTTCTCTTCCCAGCAGCTGCTACCCCCTGAAAGGTTACAGGTTTGATGACAGGGCCTTATTATGGGTAAGAACGCTGGTAAGCCCGTTTACAGTCCGAGTAAATGCTGTAATTTAACCATACTTTAGCCCTTCCACTTCTAAATGTGGTCAGAGGCAAATTTCGACCAAATTTCCACATTTCATTTTCTAAAATTTTGACAAACAAACAGCATCATGTGAAAGTACAGGTAGAGAGCTTTCATTTGAATGGTCACATCATAGGATTTGGTCCACAGACTCAAAAGTTGGAGTCGCCTTACAAAACTCCATCAAGTACTCCGGCAGTGAAGGGGTTAAATAAAGTGTTATGCCACTTCAGTGTTTGTAACAGACGCTCAAATTGGAAATGACTGAAGAAAAACCTTGATGATAATAACAGGTTTGTTTATTACTAACCAGATAAAGTTCTGATTGACCAGAAGAAGGTAGACGAACGAATTGTTTCATTAAAATGTCTCGGCTGAGATCCTGGTGTCCTTTTTCTTGGCATCAGCGTCACAGCCTACCCGAAAAGGTCGCTTCGGAATTTAAATGTAGCAGGGAAAAAGTGCAATAATGTTGCTATGCGCTAGCCTACCCTAGTTTATTTACAACCTGAATGCTACTGGTGTTTGTTCGTTTTTTTAATAGAAGCGTTTTGCCTCTTTCATCGCGTGACCAGCTATCCTGTACTGTTCCAATAGATCGGACGAGTGAAGCATTGCACTTCTCACTGAAGGCACAACAAATCGTTTGGATTCCATGTAATCGTCCCCGTCATAAATCTCTTCCTCTGGATGATGGTTTTTCTGTCGCTTGATGGTGTGGATGTCCACTGGTGTGACGTCATCTCCTGCCTGGTTACTGCACGCATCCGGTATTACAAACATCCGGGACTCGCTGTTGATGCTGATAGACTTGTTAGGGTAGTAGGCCACCATGAATTCTTTGTAATGTGTGAAAATGTTTTGGTTAGGGATGGAGATGGCGAATTCCACCTTAAGCGGGACGTTGGTGCCGTTAATTTTTGCCACGTAAATATGATGAACCTCTGTGATTGGTCCTGCTCCGTTTTCTCCTTGGCGGACGGCTAAGTCTTCTGTCAGACGAGTGAGGATTTTGTCGCGGGCCGTTTGGCTAACGCCGAAGCTCTGAGTTTTATCCCTGACAGCAGAAAAGTTGCTCTGACTATTAGCTTCGTAAATCCAGTCCTCGCATGGCACGCCGAGAATCTCTACTGTGCCATTGAATAGGAAATTGTCGGGAACCTTCGTGAGACCTCGGAATTCAGGGAGGATTGTTTTGTTACACAAAGGCCCTCCTTCCTTTAAGTCAATGGCGTACTGAAAAGAGAAAACAATTAATAGGAATGAATGATTAAGATTAAAAAGGAACTACGTACCCCTGTTTGCTGCTGCAAACAAGTTTAAACGTCTTTTAATAATTGTTATGTCCAAATCACGATTGGCTTGAGGCATGCTTCTCGTTGTTTTTTGACCAGTCCCAAGGCATAGCCATAAAATCGAAGAAATAAGACAATTCATTTCATAACAGGATATCTTCAGGATATCCAGAACTTATTGCATAGTAAGTTTATGGTGTCTCGTAAGCTGAAACTGAAATTGCTTTAAATAGATTGTAAACACGTATTAAAAGCTTACAGCTAGTATAAAGTCTCAAGAGCCGGTCGACTCGATAAAGCGATCGACTTGAGTTAGTGCGTAAAGAAAACGTTTTGAGTTAGTGTGCTAATATTATAAAGGGAGCTTACGCAACGAAGACGGTAACAGCCGCGAAAACGTCTCCCAAAAAGTGGGAGTTCACGCTGTTTCAACTGACTTCATCGACCTTATTCCAACTCTTTTTTTTTTTGTTAAATGAAAATGTTGGCGATTTTTTTCAGGAGTTGAATTCTAAAGGACTGCATGTAAGTTCACAAGAAGAAAAAGAAAATCGTTGTTTGGTGTACGACGTCCTCCATAAAACGTGAAATTAGGGAGTTTTACGTCGTAGTGATGTAGTAATGGCAAAGAAACGTACAAAAAAGCGTGATACACGTGCAATTGTTGTTTTACCAATCTAAACCTATTCCTTTTTTACCGTTCTCTTTACGTCGCCCCTATTAGCCCGCGAATACAGCCGTCTCTCCTCCCACCTCGATGCTAGGGGAGAAACTCTCCCGCGAAACGTCCGAACCCTAGCGGCAAGCAGCGATGGTGGAGAGACTTCTGTATTATCATGTTTTGCTAATATCGACATCTTTTAAAATACCTGTGCCCATTTTGATTCCTCCGGTACAATTATTACCGTCATGTGCTGTGTTAATCCCATCACGAGGTCTTCACGTGATCTGCCTCCATTTTTGTCGTCCCGGTACTTTTCGCTCACCACAATGCGACCTTCGCACCCATCTTTGTCGCAAAATGCGTCGGTTACAAATATAACGCCAAAGTAAGACTGGGGAAATTCAGGTCGTTGAGGCTCCTCGATGGAGCGTGAACAAGGATTATTTTTGTGCGTACTGCACAGACCTTGTTCAGGCTTACAGAAGCACCTAATAGAATATCACACATAAAGACTGATTTGAGCCTGATTTTCTGGGATAACTCTCAGAGTAAAATCAGCCTAGGGTTCGAGATTAACGATTACGTAACAATGGTACGCTTGATCAATTGAAAACCAGAGTAGTAGTAGAGATCTTCTGTTTATAGTGCAGAATTATTAATGTTTAGTTGGAAGAATTGCAAAATGCTCAGACGGGGTAAGGGTACAGCCTCTATGATGGCCTCTTCGAGGAGGCTCCACACGAAGGAAAAAAAAAACGCGGTGCCAACAGCCAATAGCTCAGCCTGCGAAAACATCGCTTTGGACGTTTCGAGCGGAGGAACGTCTGCGACTCAGCTGCAGAAATTCCATACTGTTGACGCAAATCAATGTTTACATAATAAATCTGGTAGTCATGCGGTTCCAAATATAAATTTGTCCAATTTTTCGTGTCTTCTTCTTCCTCCGCGCGAAACGTCTCCAGCGGCGAAGAGCGAGGACAAACGGATGTTTTCGCAGGCTACCAACAGTTGAATTATGGAGGAACCAGAGAGGTAAGATCGGACGTCAGCATGTAAAGGCGCGCACTTGTAGCCAATTCAGTTTACGTTTTGATCACACCTAGCCCACCCAGACCGATGACGGCCCATGTCAGATAGACCATGACATTGGGCCCTACGTGGACATCGTGGGCCTATGTGTTACCGTTTTCAGTAAGCTTGAGATGCATCAAAGGATGAGACGCGCCTTATAGCTATTACTAATACTTTAATCTACTGAACGTGGAACTTCTCTAGCCATCCTTGCAGACAGTGGTAACACAACCTTGATCCTTCCTACTGTAAGGCTTACGTAATTCATTGCCGCGTTTCGACGAAATAGGTCTTAAAGTGTGGAAAAACATTCCTAGACATCTACATTAAAAAAAAATCTCATACATACTTCAGCCCAGGTGGACACTTATGTATTTCTTCCGCTGGCTGATCTAAGGAATCAATCAAGCATTCCTTCCAGCCTGAATTATCGGGGAGGCAGTATTTTCCCAGCGGTTTTGCATTACAGAAACTTTCCTCCTCCGCAAAGGACGATGGGATAAGCATGATCACTAAGTGAAGGACGACAAGTAGTATCAATCCCATCATGCATCAGGTCTGCGGAAAAATGAAAAAGAGAGGACTAAACAAAATTGATGATATTAATAATAATAATAATAATAACAATAACAATAATAGTAATCATCATCATCATCATCATAACGTCAGTTGAAAAGTGTGGAGAAAATGGTGTTCAAGCATATATGATAGCGATTGTTAGTAAACCTCCAGATACACAAAGCCCCTCGTACAAGAACAGACAAGTCACCGCCGGCAACCGGAGGCCACCCATCTTACGTTACAGTACCCTCATTGCTAGCACTGGCCTGGAACATTCTCACTAATTCAGTAACTCTCTCATTAAATCCGTTAAGATGAAGAACCAAGTGAAGTGGCCAATCTCATATGTATCATTTCACACAACGACAATAAGGGAAGTGAAGATCTCATTACATAGTCAATCAGAATAAAACTCGTTAACAAGAAAACAAAAAACACTCCACTGCAAGTACAAACTGGTGTCATTCAAAATACCCTACCTGACGAGAGAGACAATTTCTCGCTAGCTTTTTGTAACTCGTTTTTTTAAAAACCTTTTAACCACCAAAATTAAAATCCCCCGATGAAGAAACAATTGAAGCAAAAAGGAAAATCTTACCTGAAATGCTTCAATAAAATATGAACATAACTAAACAGCTTAAGTAATATTTTTCTGTTGAAGGCGGTTACCAGTTATTTGGGAGGGACCAAGATGACAGCTGAATCAAAAAAGAAGATATTTATTGCCAGTGAAAATGAGATTTAAAAAAAATTACCTATGATGAACTTAAGCTGTTAGGTAAAATTTGGTTAACACCAATTATCGATATTTTCTTTTAGCAAACTGACACTGCTTTATAAAAGATAAAAATAAGTTTATCACTATGCCAATAAAGAAAAGCCAAGCGATCCTGACAGCACTGCCTTAAAAAGGTTTACAGATCTCAATTCTGAGCCTGCTTAGTTTACCCTGGGCTTAGATAGCTCAGCTGACCTTAAGAGCTATCAGGATCGTTTAGCTTTTCTCAATCGACGGCTGATCATCGCGGTGATTGGCTGCCTTAAATTGTCACGTTTATGAAAAACGTGGAACTGTCAGTCACTTAGCGTTTTGACCGGCGATATAGCCACAGCGAAAAGACAAAGATTTTTTTCGCGATTTGCTAGCAGCACAAGGCTGGATATGCGAATTAACTGGAGACTCCTGTGAGATAATCGGGATTCCGGAAATCGCGAAATGTTGCTCGTGGAATCCGGAATTCTGGGCTTTGGGAACCATAATTCAGTTCAAAGAATCCGGAATCCCGTAACGACTGGAAGCCGGCGCGGAATCTAAGTTGACAAAAAATCCGGAATCCAGTTACCTGGAATCCTGAATCCACAGCGTGGAATGCGGAATCCCTGCGATTATTGACACTAGATCGCAAGTTAGTTATTACTTAACATGGGTGTGTGGCGCTTGTCGCCGTGAGCGTCCTGGAACAGAGAGCTACTAAGAAAAGTAGACTCTAAAACTACTTCCAGGAGAATGCCAATGGAAGCCTTACAAATCATTCACACAGACGTGCTTCTCACAAAATCTTTTTTGTTTTGTTAAGAATGCATCAGACTTGCTCTACTTGAAGATTTGAAAGACTTGAGCCTGCGAATATCGGCTCCTTCAATCAGCGGACCTAACATAATTGATTATGTAATTCGTGTAGCAGTCATGTTTCGGATCTTTTTCCCTGCGAACGATGTCTGGTCGAGGAGCGTACTACAAGAATCTCTACGGAGGCAGGGGGTAAATGCTTTTAATGCTTTCTTAATGAAAAACACTTACAAAAGTAGCCCATTGACCTTTTGTAACTTAAGAGCTGAACGCAATCATAACATTACGTAATTACGGAAATATAAGGATTTGTATGGGGGGGAAGTATGCGATTCCCATGGTAAAATTAAAAAACGTTATTTACAGTTCTTTCCAATAATATCGCTTACTTTAAGTCCTTTGTTTTCATATTTTTCTAAGTAACAACCATTGGAACTGAAACCTTATGAAATGGCTCGAAATCGTCCCGAAACTAGCTTGTTCCGGGAGTTCAGATAGTGGGGAACGGAACAGTCTTGAAACCCGAAACCGGTAGAAAACACAAAAAGACGAAAAAATCAGGAGTAAAGGTAAGCGATTTTCATTGCAAAGGACTGAAAATAACATTTTAAATTTTGCCATGAGAATCGCATATTTCTTACCTCATTTAAATCCCTTATTTTCGTGACTATATAATGCAATGTCATGATTACGTTTTATACAAAGGTCAATTGTCTCAGATCTTGCGCTACCTGTGCAGGCACGTGGCTTCTCTCAGGTTACATAATATTTTGTGTCATTGCAGACAGACCTTTATTTCTGGAAACCTTGTTTGTGGCTATGCTGTGCTTCATACCTTTCTTGCCTGTACATCCCACCTTTCAGAAATTGCAGCAGTAACTAATTCCAAGAAATATATGGTTTGCTGTCATCTTACCACCAAACTATCTCACCACTGATGAAATCACCACCAAAAAGTCTACTTGCCACCACATAATAATTCTCTGCAATAATTGACACAGTTTACTTGCCTGTCACTTAACCCATACGTTGTTAAATTTCATTGTAAAATTAAGGTAAAGGAATTATCCTTTAGAGACTTGTCCTTTCGATAAGCAGTAAGATATAATTATTTCTTGGTAGGGATATCCCCATTATACTATAATAGTACTATTACACATATCTGTGTTGATTTATCAGGTGTGTATATCCCCTCTTCCATGGGGTAACTGGAAGGAATCTATATAACTTCTGTTTCAAGGTGCTTTTCTGCACATTTTTCAGAGGATCAAGAGGAGGAGGAGGAAGAAGGGGTGGTTATCAAGATCGCAACAGCTATGAAAGACCCAACTCTGGATGCAATGGCAGTCATGGACCAAATGTTGGGCGTAGAGGAGATTCTGGAGTAAGCACTATAGCTTAAATTATTAATATACCTGCACTTTCAATATAAGAAACCTCGTCCCGTTCGTTCATGACAGGGAAATCACCTACGACCGAGGCCTTGATGTATTAACCTTGCTGTTGTTCAGTTCAGTCAATACATCAAAGACAATCGAGGTTTGAAATTTCCCTGTAATGACCGAACGGACGAGGAAGGAATCTATATTATTTCTGATGTCTGATGTCTTATGTTTATTATATGGCCTTTTTAGCGTTACGTATATACTCTTATTAAAATGAATACAATAAGAAAACATGTGAAGTAATTTTCAACATCCGTGTGCAAAAGGTCATCCAAGGTTATGTCCACTGAACCAAAATGAATTCGAACCTGGCGATGCGATTGAGACCACAAGAAGACAGTTTTTTGACAATGAGAAATTTTGGACTTAAGCCTGCGATCAATTTATTAATACTGGGACCACTAACGAGTCAGTGGATGTCTTTAAAAAACATACGACCCCACTGAGTTGTATATTTGAACCTGCAATACAGTCATGTGACACTAGTCAGCTGATACTTTTTTCGACAGCGGCCAATTGACCATAACATGAATGACCCTCTGTCAAGTTAAACACAGATTTTGATGCCTATAGGACACCTAGCTAATAATGCGCAGTCATTTGAAGAAAATCTTGCCTACTTAGTAGACATCAGAGCTCGCGCACTATTGTAGCTATATAATAAAAAAGGTTCATAGGCATAATTAAAAACTTTTCTCAAATGTTTTCACTTGGAACATTAGACCTCGACTTCCAAGTGGCAGATCCAGTCTTCAGGGGGTGAGGGTTGAGATGCAGAACCCCTTGATTAAATTTGCCATTGTAATTGGATTAAAATTTGTTCAAGTATTTTTTTTAACACTGATGAAAGAAAGAATAATATAACCACAGTGAAGAGACGCATACAATGTTCAGCCTTTAACGTACAAATAACACTTGCATTGCACCTTGCCTTCTAACCATGAGATTGCATGATTTCACAAGACTAATTGAAGGATATTATTATTAACTTGAGTCAATGCCCCTATGTCATTGTATCGAACTGCCCAGCAAAACGTTTTCCTTTACAAATGGAATTTCCTAGTGCTGGCCATGAAAAAAAACCCTTTTCTATGAAAATGCGCACAGATCCTAGAAAAAAGCAGCTCCTGCAGATGCTAGGCTTATTAACACTATTTTTCATAAATACTCCACAGGACCTGGCCTATCTCCTTTCCACCCTGGAGGGCAAAGGATACAAGGCTTACAATGATATCTTAGGTGAGAATTTAATTAGTTATAATGTTATTATTATTTGAGGTCCTCAAGGTAGAACTCATGCAGATC